AGAGAGGGAGAGAGAGAATGAGAGAAGAAAAGAAACGAGAGAATGAGAAAGGAAAACAAACAAGAGAGAATGAAAGAGAGAGGGAGGGAGGGAGAGAATGAGAGAGGAAAAATCAAGAGAGAGAATGAGAGAAGAAAAAGAACAAGAGAGAATGAAAGAGAGAGAGAATGAGAGAGGAAAACAAACAAGAGAATGAAAGAGAGAGGGAGGGAGGGAGAGAATGAGAGAAGAAAAGAAACGAGAGAATGAGGGAGAGAATGAGAGAAGAAAAGGAACAAGAGAGAGAATGAAAAAGAGAGAGAGAGAATGAGGGAGGAAAACAAACAAGAGAGAATGAAAGAGAGAGGGAGGGCGGGAGAGAGAGAGAATGAGAGATGAGGAGAGAGGGAGGGAAGAGTGGAAAGGTGGAAAGCAACTATTTGGAGACAACAAACAAGGGACATAAGCCGTTTTTTGTTTAATTTTCAAAACTAGACTTTGCTGCATTACAGAGATCGGAAAAACGGCCTCGGGAGGATGGAAGGCCGAGTCAAACTTGAGAAGGTCAGGATCAAACTGCCAAACTGCTGGCAGACGCAAATTAGCAGAAATAGCCTGCAATACTGCATTCTAACCACTGCGCCACCATGACTCTTAAGCTACTCATGCCTGTGCCTATCTGACCCATAATACCACACACCGGTAGTCCTCGACTTACAACCACAACTGAGCCCAAAATCGATGTTGTTAAGTGAGAAATTTGTGAGTATTGCCCCATTTTCGGACTTTTCCTGCCACATGTGTTAAGTGAATCACTGCAGCTGTTCAGTTAGTAACACGGTCGTTAAAGGAATCCGGCTTCCCTATTGACTTTGCTTGTCAGAAGGTTGCAAAAAGGGATTCCGCTGACCCCGGGACACTACGACCGTCATAAACATGAGTCAGTTGCCAAGTGTCTGAATTTGGATCATGGGGATGTTGTAAACAATCATTAAGTGTGAAAAACAGTCCGGTCATATTTTTTTTCCAGGGCCGCTGTAATTTTGAACGGTCCCTAAGTGGACTGTCGTAAGTCAAGGACTGCCTGTATAATTATCTACTCTCAAAACGACACTATAGGGCACTGCACACCAGAACAACTAGACACAAGGACAGTTTTTTTCCTGAATGCCATCACTCTGCTAAACTACTAATTCCCACAACACTGTCAAATTACCTACTAAGACTATATTACTATTATTATTCTCTTCCTTCCTAGCATCTATCTCTTCCCACTTATGACTCTAACCATGCTGCTTGTATCTTTAAAATTTATATTATTTTATTTGTTTCCTAGTATGATTTGATTGCTTATTAGTAATTTAGTGACTAAATTAAGTGTTGTGGGAATTAG